CTTTGCACAAACACGCTTACTCCCCCCTGCAACACAAAGCCCTCCATCATTTCTGTCTCATCCTCAGCACCAGATATGGGCTCGATTTAATTAAATGAATGAACGATGCGAGATGGCACGGCGGGCGGCGGTAGCAGGTGGGCATCGCCCAGTCGGACTCCTACCGAGTGCCCTGTGTCCGGAGCCAGGATCATCAATGCTGCCCGGAGGAGGAAGAGTGCCTCCGATGCCTTCTTACCAGCTACTGTGTCAACCCCTATGGAGCAGGCTGATTAAATAAAGATTAAGCCGTGGTTCCATCAGTCACAATAGGCCAGAGTGAGGAGCGCAAATAATCACTATGACAGGATGGCGGCCAATTAGCGCGCTCCTTCTGTCCTGGGAAAGCTCTCCTTGCTTCACTCCCGCTGGCGGGGAAGAACTGATCCGGCTCGTCTGCGATATTAGCCAGGCCAGAGATCACCACCTGCCATTCCGCCGTGGCAGAAGTCAGAGCGGGACTGGAAACACCCGAGTGCCCGAGAAGCGTTCTTAGCGAAGCTCAATCGCACAATTCGACCAGATAAGTAAAGAAAGGCCCCCGGTCGCGAACACATCGAGTCGAACTCAGACTGGTGGCACTCTGAGGACAGGTTCTGGAAAAAATGAAATTAATAATAAAAATACAGGCTCGACAGGAAGAAGCTAAATCTGACGAGCAGACAAAAAAATGCTGACTTTTCAACTCAGGGCCAGACTCTGACGTGTACAAAACTATAACGCTCAGAAGCGAGTGGCATCTTCCACCAGAGCTTAAAACCTCCTGGCACGGTTGGAATAAACAGCTAAATTGTGTGCCACACGGCCAAACACACACACACACACACACACACACACACACACACACCAACGAGCATAAGCTGCATGCTCATATGCAAGGAATGCCAGAGACTGGAACTGTTTGGGGTTGCACCACAGACAAACCAGTTGAGCTTCCTCCAGAAATGATCTGAGGCGACCACGGGCAGCTCTGTGCATCGTTTTACAGGAGCGGGGGGGGGGGGGGGGGGCTCCAGAGCAGATGGTGTGCAGACAGCGAGGGGCTCGGAGGTCTCATTCGTGCCGAAACCTGGTCTCATGCACTGAAACTTCGAAAGCTGCCTCTCTGCAGCAGGGATTCGAGGGGAAGAGTCGCAGTTACAGTCCAAACACAAACTGCGCAGACAAGTTATGGCAGAGAGGATCAGCGGTGGCTGGATGCTTGCAGCCTGATGACTGATGGGATGGAGGGCTTGGCCTCAGCCGAGCCCTACAGCAGAAGAGGGTTTCTCTGGTTACACACATGAGATCAATACTTCCTCAAAGGCCTGCTCGCTCTTCCAAAGCGCAGGTACACACGGCCGTCCAACAGCCACGCTAACCGCGAGATGTTTCTCTTTTATTTTTCCTGCCGTAAGCTCTCTCTACTTTCCCTCTTTCTTTTCCATGAGGTCAGCACAGTGTATGCGAGTCCTCCTGCCTTCGGCCAAAAAGTTTTGGAGGCTGTTTCAGTAGGAAACGCTCTCCGCCTCTCTTCAAAGCCTTATTGTCAACTTGTTTTGGGTACTTTTTATCGTCTGCCCCTGCTTCTGCCGCGCCACAAACATTGAAATACATCTACTTTTTGACTACAAATCGACACAGCTACCCCCCCCCCCCTTCCTGCCAGTATCCCCTAAGACCGTCTGAGAATCCCAAAGCCGATTTGCGGAAACAGTTGGAAATTAGAGCACGTTGTAACGGTGCATTTCTGTTGGACTTTACACCCTCTTAAATGGCAAATCGGGGATTACGCTGAGAGTGGGCACCGAATGTGAGTGACAAGGCAACGGCACCCTTTGCTCTAGAAAAACCGTGAGGAGAACAGTCCAGCGGAGAGGCAGAGCGAAACCCAACCACAAAGGCGAACCAAACCTGTCACACGCATTGGTTGGTAAACCAGTGAATCCGATGACAGGGGCTGCTGGGAAATCTCTGCAGGCATTGATACAGAGTAGCTGGTTGCTGCGGTGTTATCGCATCCCCCCCACCCCTCCCTTCTGCATGTGAGACAGAGGAACCCAGTCTATCAATGCTGATAGTGCCGGAGCAACTATTAATAAAGTCTCTTTATTGTTTCTAACCTCTTCAGAGCAGCTCTCCGGGGTTTCAGATGATAGAAATGTTTTAAACATCTCGGGGGTATAATGCCCAGCACACAAACAAGCCACGCAGCCACAAAACAAGACTTGTTTTTCAGGGTTTTAAACCTGCTGCTGTCTTTTAGGATATGGATTGATTTTAATCTATTATGAATAACACGTTTTACTTGGAAATGACTCAAGGAGAAGCGTAGAACTGTTTGGTCATTCAATTGCGACTTCTAGATGCTGAGATTTGCACAACCACCATATCTGCTGAAACCTCCGTGTTTTTTTGTTTGACAGCTAGTTATATCTCACGGTGGGACTAAATCATCATAGAGGCAGACGGTCAGAAAGAAGATAAATCTTATCTGTTTGTGCTGCTTTGATGACACTATTACGACTGTGATATATCCCATGATTTTAATTTAACTGAAATTTGTCAACGCATAAAGATGCACGTCTGGTTGGTCAGATAATCATATGCTATAAATAGTTCAGCTTTCTCAAATTTCCTGTCTCCATTTAATCTACGATCCCTTTACAGACAGTTTTTGTCTATGCTAACCCTAAACATTTGTGTCTGGTGTCTTGTGAAATAAAATTGAATTTCATCCTACTGCTTCTTTTTTTCAAAGTCCTTTGAATATTTCATAATATGCACGTTGAAGTCATCTTGAAGGTTTCAGCTCTCTTAAAGCAGTTTATTCCTAAATATGAACAATTATCTTGTTAAAGGTTCACTTTGGACTGCAAGCTTGCAAAAGGCCACCTCCCTCAAAGCAGGGATTTTTAATCAAAACCTGCAATGCCAAGGTAGAGATGTAGAGAATAAAAAATTTAAATGAATAATTGAGAAATTACTAAGAAAAATAACACATTTATGCATGGAAAACCAACAATATATTCATTGTGACATTACTTTTTTGTTGGAGGAAATTATATGCAATGGCAGTCAGAGATATTTGCATTCAGCTAATAGTTAATCAGTACAAAAACATAATTAAAAGAATATTTTAAGTGTCACTCAGTGCAATGAAACAGCGGTAGTCATGAGCTGCCCTGCAATACAGGAAGTACCACAGTGTTTTAGTGAAGACACGGTGCGTTCACTGTCATTACAACATAAAAAACAGTGTTCGGTGTAAGTCAGGAACAAGTTTCAGATTGAGAGGTGCATGTGTAGCTGCCAAATCATCCAGCGAGTCATGGCGTGATATGGTGAAGCACCATGCCTCAAAGAACTGGTCCCTCTTCTACGAGTTTATTGACCACCTCTAATCACCTGCATTTCAGAGTCTGCATTCGGCCTTTTTTTTGTTTTGTGGCCTTTGCCGTCTGTCTATACAAGTGATCATTATTTCACAATACAAGTCGGTCAGACTTGCATGCGACAATGCCTGCCTCTGCGGAGTGTTCCCTCTCCAGTTCAGCCTCAGTGGCTGACATTTTTCCTTATATTTATTTGAACTGTAGAGTGTTGCATTTCACTGGCTTGTGCCAAGTGGGGATTTTTTGCTAGCGGCGGGGAATTAACAACACATGCCTGAGTCTGAAATTTGCCTTTATTAAACTGGCCACCGCAGCACTTCACAAGCCCAAAGAGTCCTAAGACGCATATACAATGACACTTTTACACACAGTTTATAACCACCAGAGATGTAAGTCAGACACTGGATGATGAACTGTGGAGAGGGCTTTGCAATGATCATATGACCAGGGAACAGTAGTTTTTGAGTAAGATAGACAAGGGGAAACAGCTGCTGGATTCTGCTTTTTTAGACTAATTTATCAATTATTCTAAACAGCGACCTCCCATCAGTGACTTCACGCCAACAGATGACCGTATCCATGAGCAACAATGCCAAGTTTTAATTAAAGAGGGTCATAAAGTCTCCGGGAAAAGGTCAAGCAGACATGTCAAAGCCATGCAGAGGTAGGTGGGGGGTTGGGAAGAATTCCCCTGACAAACAGGACTGAGCTTTAGGAACTTAATGTGCCATGGGATCACAATTTCCAACCCAGACAGAAGCGACTGCCCTGGTAGCGCTGAAATATGAGAAACTATCAGGGTTTATTTCAAGTTTATTTACTCTTTCAACACTTCACTTAGTGACCCTCCCATTCGGCACACCAGGCCAAAAATGGAGAGAAATCCTCAAGGTTGGAATATTTTCCTCTTTCTGTTAAACGTTTTTCTTTTTTCCCTTTTTCACAGACAGAATGATATCTGCCACTCTAATTGCTTCCTTATTTGGTGAATTCAATATTTACACTTGGCCTATCCTAATCCTGAAGTTTATGAGAGATGTAAAAGTACATTAAGGGAGAAGACATTTATTTAAAAAGCACTAACTGAGGCCCTCACCCCAAATGGTGTGTTTGGACCATTTGAGGGAAATGGTTTACTCTTTGAAAAAAAATATTTCCTTTAGCTGTATTTGCGCACCGAGAAATTCCATCGACTTTTCATTTAATGGCCTGACATACATGCTACGTGCACCGCAGAAATTTCTCAAGCTGACAGGAGGAAACACAGACGGCCATTGAGGAAACCTGGAGTTTGTACTTTGAAGAATTCCACTGAGGAGATGAAGGGAGATGGAAGAGAGTGGTGGGAAATATACCTCTGGAAAAGAGCTGGCTCGATGGAGGCTGCCATGGAAAAATACTGATATTTCATGTGAGGAAATGCCACTGTCAACCTTAACAACACAGACGGTGAAAAAAACAAGCTCTGGTGTGAGGAAGAGGGGTTACACGACACAGGTGAAACCCTGAGAAAGGATCCCTGTTGGGAAAAGTGGGCTGTTTTCCTTCATATCCACCTTAGGATATTGCTATAAAAAACACTCTTACCTCTCCTGCAATGTCTCATGGCCATTCTGCACATCCTGGACTCAGCGATGGTTGGACAGGGTATCGAGTCCTTGGGTGGCTTCTTTACAATGTGCCGCGTCCGGGTCTCCAGACCCCACTTATAACCGCAGGTTTTGTTTCTCCTGGTACAGGCTCCCCATTCGCTCCACTGACCCACCTCACAGCCTTCTGCAAGGGGATAAAAATACAACAAAAAAAAAAAAGTGCTGAGGTGCAGCAAAACCACAGGAGACCCCAGGTCAAGCTTTAATACAGGTTGGGGGAGTTTTACTGGCACGTTGTAACCCCTTTGTGTGTGGTCCCAGCTTTGTTTTTAGGTCCAAAATAAACATCCCAAATGAAAGGTTACAGAGAAGCGATTACAGGTAAAGAGGGGTCTATGAGAAACCTTTTCCACTTTATTTATTGTTTGTTTTTTGCTCTGTTTATTCCCACTTACCTCCGCACTCCATGGTGTCTTCCAGTGGGGCAAAGCCCTCGGGGCATTTGTCGAAGCAGCGCCCCTTGTGTAGGTAGAAACCTGACTTGCACTTGGTGCAGAAGTCTTTGCTGAAGCAGGACTCGCAATTCTCTATCCTGCACCCTGGAGGAAGAAAAAAAAAAGGACAATCATCAGAGTCTGAGAAACCCTCTCATCTGGAGCTGATTGAGAGTTTGGGGAAAGGGGGGGGGGGGGGGGGGGGGGGTTGTTGAGAAATTATAGTGTCCCTCCCTCAAAAAAAAGGGCAGACAATGGCCTGTGAATCATTTCTCTGGGGAGCTCAAGTGTATTTCAGAAAAATTGGTTTTGCCTGACATCATGCTTCCAATCCCTATCTTCCGGTTCTTGTTTGAAGCCAGCGTATCAAAAGGGTTCAAACTCAGCTGAACTGACCTCGTTCAACAGGTTGAATTGAAAATGTGGACGGAAACACGCATTTCCCAGGTTTTCTTACAACTGTAGATAGCTGTGAGAGGACAGATAGTGTCCACGCCGCTATCTTATCACTTCACGCTGCTCACCTCTTTTTTTTTTTTTTCCATAACTGAAAGACTGTTGAATTGTCAGGTTTTTCACCAAAGATGGATTGACGGCCACAGAGCTGGATCACTTTGGCTTTGGCCTTGATTGAACGGAGGGGAAGGTGCGCTTGCAGCCGGGAGGCGGGAAGGAAATGACACCATCTCGGCCCGATAAATGCAAAAAAAACGGTTTAGTCAGCAAACACGCGCCTCTCCTCTCACGCCACACCCTGCCGCCGCTGCGCATGCGCCGCGTTCTGCAGAGCAAAAGCCTCCTCAATGAGTCATCAGGCTCTCTGCAAATAGCACGTCGAGCGGGGGCCAAATTACAACAACCACACCGACAGGGCGACGCACAGGCCCACATGATTAGAAGGAGGCCTCCCCGGAGCTATCTAATTTACGCCGCTTCTCAGGAACTCCATGTGGCCCTGTTGCCCAATACCCTCAATCTGCAACCTGCGGCCCCCCTTGTCCCTCCACCGCGCAGGGGGGGCTTTCCAGGTAGGGTGCTGGTCTGCCCCTCTGATTGTGCCCTACGTGGGGCAGCAACCCTGTATTAGCGCCCGAGTGCTTTTGCCTGTGATTTCGCAGTGCTTTTTCGACATGTGAGAGAGTCGGAGGCTGAGGGCTGCTCTTTTATCTGTGACCCTCGCAGGGCCCGGGGAAGGGAAGGTTTCTCACAATCACACCCCCTAATTACGCCATCTCCAGCTAACCATCAGGCCTCCTCCTCGACATTCCTGCAAAACGAGGGGGTCCCTCCCCGCTTTACTTTGAACCCTTAAAGTATGTCCTCTGCCCACTCACTCTGGTCTCACGCTTTTCCAGACCAGTCTAAACAAACCGTGGACACACAATCACGCATTTGCACAAACACACGCATACCGAAAAGATATGGTTGGAGATAGGCTCAAACTACAATACAGCTGCGATCTACATTCGGAAAAGATCCGAGTGACTGCCTCTCACTGTTCTCTTTGCCAGTGTTGCGTCTCTCATAAGTGTTGCCTTAATTGAATCATCCCATGTAATTGTTTCCTCCTCATAAATTCAGTCTCCTTTGCTTTATTCTGACCTAAGCAGCGCTCAATTTCTGCCTTTTGTCGATTCCCGTTCTGGAAGAAAGTGCCTCTGCTTCCGATCAAATAAAAACATCAACCCATTGGGTCTGACACAAAACAAGCCCAGCACAAGGAGCACGCTTGTAAATCACAAAGCCAGTTTGAAGGCACAAAGTTGTCTTTTACAACTCACACTTCCAGGGCCTGTCATCACCTGGGAGATTTTTGAGCTTACAAACAAAAAAATAAAAGAGCGAGAGGGAGACCGAGAACATCTGGCAGCACTCTCCGCACTGGGCTTGTTGTGTAATACTCGGTTATTGACAGTAAATATGACCAACACAGATGTCCCGAGCATTACATCCTCGCACCAGCAGGAGAAGCGGCGCTCGGCAAGGTTTTCGATTCCAACATCCCCGCTGCTTTTTAGTCTCAGATGTGGTCGGACATGGGCTATCGCTGCCTGGAAATCTTGTTTTCTAAATAGATGATAAGTTGTTTTGTCACCCGGCGAGATGGATGAAGTGAACGACACGAGCGCGGCACCATGGGAATTAGAATGCAGGCAGCGAAAGCTGGAGGGTCGGAGGTCATCAGAGAGGCCCCGGCGATCAGTCAAAAAGGCTATCGGGGGACAGCGGAGGAGCTCCTGAGCTAACCGCTGGTCAAATCAGCAGCAGGGCAGTTTGTCCAGCAGCGCCAGAAACAGATACAGGGGAGTGAGTTCATTCCATGTGTAGGATTAACCTCAAGACCACCTTTAAAGTCTTCTTCTAGGTGCCTCGGGGAGACTAATATGAAATAATGAGGTCATCAGATCCCACCGAAGGCCCCGATGTTCTTGGGCTTAAACGTATTATCATGATTATCCCTCATCCTGGTTCTGGCCATGAGTTATTATATTATGAACACAGACAGGGAAGCTTTCTGCCTTCTGAAGGGGGAGCAGCCAAAGCTGTCATTAAAGTGGCTGAGGGTGCTCAGCTGAAAGAGATGCCATCAGTGCTGCACCAGTTGCACCATTGGCCCCACAAATCTCTGTTACGCGCTCTTTTTTTGGTGGGATTTCGCACTTCTTTTTTTAAGCTTTAATGCGGTCGGCACGTCAAGGAGCTGTGAGGTCGAGAGGGGATGAGTCACCACGCGTCCCATGTGATCTTGACAGCGCATGCTTGGCAGAAGCTGGTCCCTCAGCTGTGGTCTGGATGGGGAGTCTGCTGATTTTATCACGGACACTAAGGAATCACGTCAGCTCCAGTCGCCGCTGCTCTTCCACAGGCCGACGGTGCCATGTATAATCAGTTCCTTGACAAGGGTGGCGGCTGCTTTAAAAAAGGAGCGCCGGATTGGTCTGAAAACACAGACGATTCTCCAGCGTTCCGCAAGAAGAGAGCTTCCTCCGCAAAAGCTAAGCAGCCTCGACGCAGCCCAGCAGGAGAGTCCACGCTGTAAAAAAAAGGTCTGGCATCGCGAGAGGGGAAAACAAGTTTGTTTTTCCATCGTCGGCCTCCAAGCTGAGTCGAAAAAGCCCTGACCTACTCTTTAGACCCCGGGTTTGGCTGACATGGAGGAGCTGGCTTGCTCGCTGTCACCCAGCCATATCATGTCGGGCTGCAGATGGCAGGAGTTCATGGCAAAAGGGTAGAGCTGCCATGTTCTTCTCAAGCCTCCTTGGTGTTTTTTTTCCACATGGGTGCTCTTCTGTGCGCTGGCAGAGGGCTAGTCGAAGCAGAGGTGGTGTTTCTGTCAATCAGCCACTCCGAGAGAAGTATTGAGAATGACAGATGTGTCAGTGGTACTTCTGGCTTCTTGACCCAAGGCGACACAGCCTGTGATATACCCACTTCTACACGTGCTCAGTCAGCCTTGACACTCACACACACACACACAACTCAGTCTCAGACTGGCGGTCAAGAACAGACAGCCCTTCTGCTTATACTGTACCATGACCAATTGCACAGTACTTTAAGAAAACAGCCCATTCAACTCTGCCTGCAGCTGGTTTGGTTTGATGGACCCATTGTGCTGACTGGTTAATCTGAAATTGTGGTGAGTAAAGCTGTGATAGTTAGATGTCACTGGGTTCAGCTCAAAGGCCAAAAGCAACTGGTCTTTTTGTCGGTTAGACGTTGAGATGGAAATAACCCACAAGCAAAGAATTAGAGCGAGAAATGAAGGGCTTGAACGAGAGGGAGAGACCTGACAGCGCTGCCAGCCGAAGGGTCGCAAAAAACCAAAGATACTTCCCTCACACACCCTTAATGGCCATTTGCTCGGGGACCATGACGCCAAGCTCTTATCCAATTCCAACCCGACAGATTGCTAAATTGTATTCTAAAACTATCTACAAAGATACAATCAGTCAACTTCTACATGGGAGCTTAATCTAATCTGCCAGCAAAGTATAACAACTGGATTCAATAAAAGAGCTCCTCGGTCCAACAAATAAAATGTTCGCAAACAAGATTACAAAGCAACGAAAGGCATCCAACAAATTTGTTTCTGCAATATAGTCTGACACTGAATGGGCTCTGATGCTCAAACCACACTTAAAGGACCGGAGCGATTTTCAGGCCCCGGTCAGACTGCTTCTTGGCTGGTGCGGAGTGAAGCTAGACTTTTAAAGATGCTGCAGTCGGGTAAGTTCAACCGGCCGCTCGCTGGAGAATGTGTGAACAAGTATAGCAGTGGGGGGTCTAAAATATATCCCGAGGGGAGGAAGTCTTGAATGCAGCGTTCCACTGGCGCTGACCCTCCCGACGCTTTGTCGCACACTCCTTACGGTCGTCTTTCGGCTCGTAACTCTTTCAGCCAGAGAGTTTGCTCGTGATACCGAAATACAGAATGTGCTTTGGCTTGGGGAACGTGCATTAAAACTGAAGCGTTATGAAATGTGACTGGGGCAGGGGCATGACTGCGCTGAATTCATGCGCGTTTGGCTGCACATGAAGCAGCACACTATGGGACCAGTGCTGCAAATCTTCCCTGCAGTGTGCGGGTGACGCCCACATAAACTGGTGTGGGGCCTCTTCTGGGCAACTGATAAGAGCCCCTGAGGAAACCACTGGAGTTACTGCATATGCTCCATGGCTCTAATCAAGCTGTCGTTAGCTTCTGAAAGGACCAGTGAAGAAAAATCCGCTCAGGAGGAATTGTAACTTGCAGCCAAAAGACACAGTGGACAAACCGTTTTTTTATTTTTTATTTTATGGAAAACAGCTCGACTGTAGATGCAAACGAGTTTCAAGTTGTATTATAAAAAAGGTTTCCCATTGTTTGTTTTTTTGCTTTAATTGTGGTGTCATTTTCCCAGCGCTGACTGAGCGCCTTGAACTCATAACGTTTTATCAAAGGCGTAATTACTCAAGTTGTTCTGAGAAAGCAGTACGTTTACAATTTAGCATTTTGAAGACGAACAATTAAGATGTCAAATCTGGGTACAATGGAATGATTACGGGATTTTACGCAGCTTAACTAAAAGCTCTATCGTGTGGTTTTCCCAGCGCGCGGAAGATGTTCAAAGCCTGTGTTACGCGTGTCCATCTAACCGATGCAGATGTGACAATCCAGATCCTAGAATTAGCTCTCGTTTAGGTCTGAAGTGCTTTAGATTGCATAAGATTGTTGCTCTCACAGCCCCCTTTTAAGTAACTTTTAGTTTAACTTACAGTTAGAGTTTTTAGCTTGAGGGGGGGTCTTCCAAGACACTGACCGCTTATAACAACCTAAAGTCAGAAAACTGTTTATCCCTTTTGACATCACTCAATTGTTTCTCTATATCATCCTGAAACAAGTTAAGGCTGGATACAAGGCCGTGTCCTGGACGGTACCTGGAAAATTCTCAACAAATACAGTGATTTATGTCAGACTATAGATTTACTGTGGAACTTTGTCCACAGTGACAGACAGAACCGCGCACGTCATCACATTTCAACGTGACATTTGCCTGAAAACAATACACAACACGGGCACACTTATCATTGTCGTAGCGGTTTCATCCTTATCAGACTCATTTCACACATCCCTCAAATGGTGCATTCATTCTTTCCCTTCAACCAAAGCTCTCTGAGTCACATGCCTGTGAATCCTCCACGGCAGAAAAAGTGCGTCTGTGTGAGCCTCTCGCTTGTGTAGCTTTTGTTTTCCTCTACCCAGGCAGTCCGCGAAAATATTCTTGAATGAGATAAGATCACACAGACAAACTCTGCCGTAATAATAAGCAGCTGCTCCTTAAGTGATTTCAGAGGCTGCGTTTAAAAAGGCTCATGACAACAGAGTTGTAGCACCGAGCTCTAGGCACCTTTGGAAAAACCGGGAGCACAAGGCGTCTCTGTGAGGAACAGTGGAGAAATCCACAGTGTCGTGCACCTACTGCACACTCAGGCCCTTTGGGCACCGGTTGCCTGCACCAGCTCACAGAATATAAAAGTCTAAACCAATAAAACATCCATTCGCGAAGAGTAGTCGTGAAATGTTTTATCAAAATGACACATGGAGTGCAGCTGAGAAAGAGGGTTAAATAGGAAACTGGATTAGAGAGAAAAGACTGAAGCAGCGATCACATCAAAGTAGGTCTTACTCTGAGATCTGATGCCATGTGACAATACAAGATGTTGTTCTAACAGCAGTGTGTATGGCAAGGGATTCAAATGAACTTGTGGTTAAGGTGGCAGAGACTTTATTTTTTTGAGTGAAGAAAATGATGTTTTTCTCTTCCAATTATCTCAGTTATGAAAATAGGGTGCAATGACCGGATTATTTCAGATTTTGCTTCTAATGTGGGGAGATTTGATAATATTGAACTTTTCGATGAAGATTGGTTTGTAAAAACATATATGCCATAACATATTGATAACAAGATGTGGCTAAAAGAAATTCATGTAAAACTTTATATTACATTCATTTCTGCAAACTATCGATGATTAATATTCGCAGGAATAGTACGACTGCTTATTGATTCATACTGTAGGTGCCTCTCCAATTAAACAGATTCTTCATTGATTTTTTCTTTGTTGTATCTACATATTTGAACAAAAAGTACTTGTAAACTGCAGTTCATTATAAGATATTAAAAAAAAGAAACATACGAAGAAAGAGGAAACAATTTGAACATATTTACTCTCAATCAATCGCTAGCTTGGCGGGACAATATAGGTTAACTCTAAGCTAACACTTTGTAGCTTCTGTGAAGAACAGAGACAAATAAACACAACCAAGCCCCCAAATTTAAGATTAGTTTTCTCTAAAACGGTACAGATATTTAATCAACACAACCCTCAACCCTCCAACTTAACCTGGTAAAAATATGAATTTACAAGATATGGACCCTTTAATTGAGGGTAATGCATAAAAAAAGTTCTACGTGAACAATTCCGAGCTGGCCGTTGCAGTTTTAACATGTTTTTCATTGTCATAACAAAATGGAGCCAGCAGATGTATTTGCATTTGGGCGGCAGAGGCTGGGCAAGCAAGTCTTAGTTCGTTTCACTTCCTGCTACACGTTCATATTATTCTACCTAAAGATTCGGACACCCTCCTCTGGGTATTCACTTTAGTGCTTCTGTCAGGAGTTTGGCTCAGGGAACCAAAAAGCTTCAGGTTTCTCCCTGTTTTCATATGAAACACTCAGCCAACACCTCGGGCTCTGTGTAAACCTATAAATGCTCCCTCCGTCTCTCTGAGCATTTTCCGTGTTCACATAAGGTTATGAGATCAGGGTGCAACACGAGGAGGAGAAAGAGATTTCTCTAATTGTATTTGAGTGTTAGTCTTAAACAAGACTAGTTGAGAACATTTTGATTTGTTATTGTTATTGTTTGAGGCCATTTTTAATAGCCAAAAATGTGGTCTCTCGCGAGTCCAAAATCAATATAGTCCATAAAGTATGTTTCAAAGAGTAGACCATTAGCAAAATATTTAACATGCTTTAATCTTATAAACTAAATAAAAAAAGTCACATTGAATTAAACTATAACCCCCACACCACTTGTACACTAGCAATCGGAGGCCTAAATGACTCTCTTTGATTTTCTCCATTAAACTCGGTGATGGACAATGTGGGAACTTTGGAGTTACTTGTTTTCTTTTCCTACACCATATTTCTTCACCATCAAAAGAAATGGAATAAGGGCAGATTTATCTAGCTCATAATGTGACACTGGCGCATCTTGGTTGCATTTACACTTGGATTTCACACCCTGAGACATGCATAGGAAGTTTGGTAATTCAGGTGTAAAGGGAGTGATAAAAAAGAGAAACAACAGGATCAGCGTAGCAGGAGTTCAGTGTAAATTCCCGACGGGGACAAGCGTCCACCTGTGTGAATCCACAACCCATTCAAATTGCGAGGTATGTGTGTCTCCTGCGGATATAATTGACAATAAATCATGGCCTGTGGAAGGAGGGGAAAAAAGTGGACTGAGGGGAGATCTTACTGGAACACATGTTGACTTCTGGGCTGCGCATGCCATAGTATCCGGCCGGACAGTCGTGAAGACATTCCCCATACTGCCTCATCCTCTCTCTCCTCAGGAACAGGAAGAGTTTAGGTTGGCAGTTTACACAGCCGTTATCCCTGGAGCACACCGAGCAGCCTTTACAGACGGGGTACGCTCCATAGCTAGCTGCAAGACAAAGAGAAAATAAAAAGGAGATTTGATATTAATAATATTTATATTGACGGGAGTTATTCCATTCGTATTTCCATTTGACAGAGTATTGCACTTTTAATGGCTCATAACCATGCCCCGTTCACCAATACAGCCACAGTGTTCGCCCGTGTCCAAGGCCTTCATTTCACCCATATCTCCCAAACCAAAGAGCATGGTTCTTAAACTCTTAAACCCAAAGTAGTGTGTAAAAGCCATCAAAGATGCCATTGAAAGATGCCATGAACTCTTTAAAAGGATTTAACGGTTAAATTGTAGTGAATAATATGTAGATGGGTCAACTTCACATAGTTTAATTCAGTTACGACTTTTTTGTAATATGACCTTACTCAGGATAACGTTTGGCTCTTCATTCATTATTTTCGCAAATCTGAAATTAACTTCTAAAAAACACACCAGGAAAGACTTAAAAATCAGGCATATTTCCATTGACGGGTTTGAAGTTAAATCTAGGCTGTGTTGTAATGCCAGAAAGCAGCGGTACAGTCTCTGTTACTAGTGGTTGTAATTCAGTAGAAAAAATTGTTGTTGTACATGGAAAAAACCTCAGGGACATTGGACAAAAAAAATAAAAAGTGAAATGCAGTGGACATTCATGAGAAATCTTCTCTTCGGGAGTTACTTTCATCACTGGAAGATCATATCACATCTGGGGAAATACCAGCCAGATAGGAGTTCATTGTTTCACTGCTCAGACCAGAAACAGCTGGAAGCCACGTCAATTCAATCTTTACCAGCGTTTTTAAAGGCAAAAACAGGAAATAAGCATCATTTCCACCCCACCATAAGCATCTTCTAAATATAAAAAACGGCCAAAGAAATTGGGACATTCCCTCAGCGTGGGATCTTAATTGGTACACATTGTGTGTCTAAAGATCGGCTTTGAAACCATCGAGAGAAATCAGTGTCAGACGATTTCAAGCAATGTACATTAAAGAGACATTTTGAAGAAAGGCTAATTCTCAAAAAAGGATGACAGCTTCAACTCGCATTGTAAATATTTACCTTAATTATTCTAATGGACTTCTTGCAACGCGTGTCATTTGGTTCAAACATGAGATCAGTAAAAGTTCAGGCACACGGGAGAATATCGTGTGTAGTAACGCTGTTCTGAAAAAAGGCAGAATTCTTTCAGATCTGTGTGTCATTACTCATCCCTTGTTGACCCTAGCTTTACCCGATGACAAGGACAGGGAGAACTTGAGGCAAGACTCAACTGTGGGAGGGCTGGCCAGTAGAATACAACCAAAATTCAAGAACAAAACCATAATAGATATATCAGTAGGATACTCTTTAACCCATAGCAAATATGTCCAACTGTACAATTTGTCATTCATGCAAACTCTGGTTCCCCTCTCAGCATTCAAATGATGATTGGTTATAGATGTGAATATTTCATTAATTCTGGTCAGAGCTGGCCTCTTAAACGATTGTGTTGAGACAACTGATGAAAGCCCCCAAAACCGCAGTAGCTCTGGCCCAGGCTCCAGTTGCCTGCGGAAGACAAAGGAGCCAGTAAAAAGACAGTCCATTCCACAGTAAGTGACTTTCACTGTAAACTCCTTAGCGTCCCATTTACAGGAAAATGTCCTTGGGCGAATCCTAATGATAGACAGTCGAGTTGATCCCAGCCAAGTTTTAAATATCAAAAAGAGGGAACGGGTAACTGCGGCGCTCATGCTAAGAAGCCCACCACAAAGCTAAAAACCCCTCGTAGGAAGCTGCACAAAGCCTGAGAGACGGAGCAGAGCTCGTCTGCCTTACAGGTCATAGATCCTCCTCTTAACTTTCTCTGAGCACATCCACTAGGCCAAATGTGAACGCTAAGTGGGCCTAGATCGAGAATAATTTTTGTAATCAGGTGGCAATCAGTCAGCGGATATCAATGGCGTCCTCAATCTTGTCTTTAAAAAAAAGAAAATCTATTTATTTGGAGCATCTGGTGATGGTCCTCAGAGAAGAATGCTGGCTTGGACCAACAGGCTTCATTTTACCAAAGCCGGAGCGGAGGAAAGTAAGATCAAGCGGTAATCAGGAGGTGTCTCTGACAGTCTTTAGGGATGAGGTTTACAGCGACACCCAATCCATCACATCGCCACCGGGAGAGGCTCTCCAAGCTTTTTCATCCCGCAGTTTAGTGACGGTTCATCTCCAGCCCTCACTCACTCAGAAAGGACGCGAGCGAGGAATGGAAACCCCGACTCCTTACTCCTTTTGGCCCCTCCAAATCACAAGTGGAAAATTCTCTCTCATCAATCTAGTGAGCGAAACATTAGGTCTAACTTCAATGAGACATTGGCCAATACAGCTTTTCATCGGTAGCTGCTAATGAGCACAGGTGCTGTGCTGTATCTTCACACCACTACCATATTTTCCATCATTCTGACCACATATATTCTCACACCCCTTCCAATCAGTAAAATGAAAGTTGACCTTAGTGTGTCCGGGTGATGTGCTGACAACAAACAGCCAGCGACCTTAAAGTTGGTCACGTTTACCGCCGCGGCGCTAGCCAAGCTTTAACATCGCAGTGACAGAGAGGGATAGTTAGCTTGGCAAAAGCATGGACCTCTAAGGCTGGAAAGCTTCTCTCTCCAGCCTACTTTGAGTGGGTTTCTTCTTGTTACTAGTTTACCGTGTGCTGTGCTATCCAAACTGAAACGAAAGGCAATATTTTATGAGCATGTGGTCATTAGATCACCGGCCGGTCAATCAACAGGGAAATTACAGTCACTGAAAAGGCTCTTCGTAAATCTGGCTCGGAGACCCCGCGGACCCTTTTGTTGTCAAACATTTGTTTTGGTGGTTTGTAATCTTGCAATCCACGCTGATTGAGGATATCATTACTGTACAATGTCTGAAGGAGGCATATTCCACATCCTGGAATTATCCTATGACTGAGAGGGGGGAAAAAAATGAAGAGCAGGAACGGCTGCTCACGGTGGAGAAAGAAATACTTTGGGGCTGCTGATCTTGGGAGATTAGCTTTTGTGTGTGTCTGTGGAAAGGTTTGGAGGTTCAGGCCACAGGTATTTCAGGAAAAAGACCACAATTCACTGTGTCTGGAGGAGCGCCGTCCAACTCACATCCCACACTACCGGCATAATGTCTTGCGCACTTTACATCAATCTGTGGACTGCCAGCAGGTTTCTGCCTTTCGAAAGAAAAATTAAAAGACAGAAAATGAAACAAAGATGCACAGAAGTCGCTTTGTAGTTAGATGGGGCCTTTGTTTGTAACTTGTTTTAGCCACTACATATGAATTCAAACTGTATTTTGACATGGCGCAAAACATCATGTTTCCTCTGTAACAAGTCGCAAAATGCTTTCTGTCAAACACTTTGAAACCAAAGTGAGCCAGACATGTTGAAGACATGCGTATAAAGTAGTCCTTGTAAGATTATGGATACAAGGTTTAACACCGGAGGAGAATCCACAGCATTAAAAGCGGCCCTCTTTGCACTCTCTGTGTAGATAAACTCATGCCGTTTACAGTTTCAACCACAAAGCGCACATTACATGAAATAAAACAAATCCACAGTTCCCACTTCTGAAAGATCCCTCTCTGCCTCAAGTATTGTATTTACAAAAAGCCAGATGGACATAACTGGGGAAGCCTACACAAGTACTTCTTAACACAAAGACTTAATAAGCGTCTCGATGTGTCATGTCTACACGGAAAGCTGCTGCTGATGTGGAGGACCTTTCTCATATTCGCTTACATAGCCATCAGTGGTGGTTCTAAATGAAGTAGGACTCCGCAAAAGGAGGTTCAAATAACACATTAATTTGACTTTTGGAAGTCTGGAAGTGTGTAAATATGATGCACCTGGCTGCTAGCTTTAATTGGCAGGTTAGCTAAATGGGTAGCAAAGAGGCGTTAGCAAAAAACTAAACTAAACTAAACAAACAAAATGTGTTAAGGAAAAATAATAAAATAAAGCAAACACATTTGAGAAGCTTTAATATAGATAAACTTCGTTTATAGGGACATTTAGCCTCAACTGAACAGACCATTAGCCTGCTGCTAGCTCTTTTTACATATTCATTGTACAGATGACGGCCCACCAACAGTGTCTTCATAAAATGGTTCAAAAGTTCGTTTGAAAAAAAACCTAATTGAATTTAATCAAAAATCAAATAAATTGTGTCACGGCTTGACTGTTCAAAGTATCATTCGATGGACTTTTTGATCTCTATGTGCAATGTCGTCCATTACATTGAGCGGCAAATCTAGACTTTGCATAAGCAGCCTCTGGGGCTCAAGAGCCTGTCGCGCTTTATCAGTTTGTTCAATATCTTTGAATCTCTGAATCTGATACTACTGCCCCAACAGACAGCCACAAAGTAGATGTTCAGTTAATTGGCTCGACCCAGGCTTTCATTTAATCTGATACATCATTTCCTTGAAGTGTGTTTTCCATCTTTTTCTGTAAACCTACTCCACACTTACCATCTGATGAATAAATAATCCAAAAGTAGGCCATGAAATTGCTTCAAGATTGGACTTTTTTAAGATATGAATTGATAGGAATCTATGCTCCTCTAGCGACATTTTCTTTCTTTCTCTATTCATGCGCAAATGTCTCAACAGGAACACGGATTTAGTATAGTTTAGTATATTTCAACTTTAATTCTACAGCGGTACGTCTTGCTTTGAATGAAGGGAGTTAGCAATACATTCAGGTGAGAGCCAGTAGAAACCCAAACTCTCAGGTACAATATTGGGTTTCGAACACAAGCGTGACAGACTACCCTCTGAGATTTCATCCACAATCGAGAAACTTCCTGCATTTTTGCTCACTGACCGTTACCCATGAAATTACTCACGTTGACCCATTCCAACTTTCTACAAGCCGAAACTCTAACAAGACAAATTGCCCATAATTCTTTTTTCTTTTTGAACTTGGCATTTAGAACAAGAAGGCATTCTTAAATAGGGTTTCACTGATGTGGGTCTTTGGCTGGCCAGCCTTGACAAAAAAAAAAAACACTTCAGACGTCAAACAGAGATCAGCAGCACTACTTTCCCATACAAATCCCAATTTTTTGTTTTATATAATGACTTCAATTGTTTTGTTTTTTTATATTATATTCAGATGTATGAGTTTTTGGTCTTTGGAACAAAAAAAAGTTTTTTGTATTAAGGCAGGGAG